AAGAATTCCCATACCTGGGATCAAACATTGATAGAAATGGGGATTACAATCAGGAAATCAGAAGATTAAAAATGGGGAGGGCAGCTATGAAAGAACTAAAAATGAAGCGAAATTAAATGGCTTTTAAAAAATTTCATTAGTTGCTGTTAGTATTGCTGTTAGTGAACTCTGAACAGACCGTGCTGTGAAGACAGTGTTCAGCTGATAGGATGTCCCGATAAGGCTTCCTCAGTGGACGCTGCCCAGAATTGTTTGGTGACTGATTTCCAAAAGTGTAAACAACATTGTAGTAAGAGAAGTTCTGATGCACATATTAGGGAATCACTAACGGTCTTGCTTATCTGTTGCAATGCAACCCACCAACTATAAACGTGTCCTTAACCTGTCACTCAGAGCTCTTGGTATTTGGAACTCACACTTCCACTGAGAGCCCGCGTGTTTCTCAGAAATAAAGGCTCCTTTCCGAAGATCTCTGTTTGGTCTTTTGTCCAAGTTCTGCTACAGAAAAGATTCTAAAATGCCAAGATATATAACTCAGCGCAAAAGTTAGAATCATACAAGCCATTGTATTCCCTATTACCATGTATGGATGTGAGAACTGGACAGTTAAGAAAGATGATAGAAAGAAAATCAGTTCATTTGAGATGTGGTGCTTGAGAAGAGTGCTGAGGATCCCATGGGCAGCCAAAAGGACAAACAAGTGGGTCCTAGAGCAGATCAAACTGGAAAACTCCCTGAGACTGTCATAATTTGGCCACATCATGAGAAGAGAAGACTCATCAGAAAAGACAATAATGCTGAGGAAGGTGAAGGGAAGTAGGAAGAGAGGAAGGCTACATGCCAGATAGAAGGACTCTATTAAGGTCGTCATGGGTATGGGTATGCAGGATTTAAGCAGAGCAGTGGAGAACAGGGGCTCTTGGAGATGTCACCATGGATTGAGATTGACTCAAGGGCAGCTAACAACAACAACTAGCACTCCATGTCACCAATGGGAGTTGTAATCCATTACATCTAGAGAATACTGAGTTGACAGTGACTATGAAATATTCCCTCATAGTTGCCTGATCATTTTGTTTTAGCCTTTCTCAAAATCTTGCAACAGACTTTTTGTAGATGAATGGAGCAGAACTGAGCACTGAGTCTAGCACGAGTTAACCTGTCACAATTGTATTGTTTCTTTATTCCTGTATCAGCCCATAGTGATAATCTTTTGGTACCAGAAGATATCATCCAGCTGGCCCTATTCATGATATTTTATGTTCTCTTTCACTGATAACACAATCTCCATTTTTACAGCTACTTTTGGAAATAGCATTTACAAGGTATATTACATGTTTTGTGGTTTCAGCTCTTTTGCTGAGATATTTAAAATAGGAATGGGTGGCATTCCAGATGTTGTTGAGCTGAAACTTTCATCAGTTCTAGCCAGGTAAACTAATGCCAAAGGATATTGGGGTTTGTTGTCCAGCATTTGGAGGGCCACATTTTCCCCTTCCCCTGTTGTAGATGTTAATATTGGCACTCTAAGAATGCTTCTTTTTCATTTTATTGGGACCATTAAATCCATTCTGACAGCAGTGCTTCATTTTTCTTTTGTTATACCCAGAAGATTGGATTCAGATTTAGACAGAGTAAACCCACTGAAATCAAAGGATTGTAGGTTAGGCATTGATTTCAATGAGTCCAACTGTACTACAGTATTTCTAGGAGAAAAGTGGTTAAAAAGAATGCCATCTATGATGGGAAGGAAAAGATAAGTAATAGGCTAACAACAACAAAAGAGAACAAGGGAGAAAAGATAAAATGTACATAAGCAAAATGAGAATATTTGTGTATTACAAAGAAAGGGGAAAGCAAAATCTTTTATTCATAGTAAGCTGTCATTGCTAAAAGGCTGAAAAAATAATACAGATATTGCAGAAGCTGTGGTTATTTCTGCAACTTAGTAGAGCCTCTGTGATATATTTCAGAACTAATGACATTATAGTTTCTTGCTCAAGATGGAAGGAGCCAGTAAATATGTTAAGTAGCATTTTGTGATGAGAACATATGAATTTACACAACTCATGATGTGATTTCAGAGACATGCAAATGAGTTAGGGAGGCTTGAACTGGTACATATTGTGTCCTGTTGTAAATAAAAATATGGTTCATTTGTACTGCTATTTTTTATTTAGTCCATATATTGTCAGTTTTAAAGAATAAATAATGTGGTGTATTGGTGTTTCTATTGCTTCCCTGGATCATAGCTTCTGTGCAGAGCCATACTGGTGACAGAGTGATTGCCTTTCCAGGAATTCTGATGGCTAGGTGTAAATTATGATGATGACTAAGCATACACTCTTGTGAAAGTTACTGCATGAGATGTATATGGAGGAATGTCACAAGATCTAGGGATAGATCCAGATTTAGGCATATTTTAGTCTGGGTTGACAATGTCTGCAGGATTCAGACCCAAATTTCCATGGAATCCTTCAGGGTTGCAAGCAATTGATGACTGAAGCACCACTGAATTCAGTAGCTGTTGTTGTTGTTAGCCTTCAAGTCATTTCTGATTTATGGCAACCCTAAGGTGAACCTATAATGGCATTTTTCTCAGCAAGATTTATTAAGAGGAGAATTTGCCATTACCTTCCTCTAAGGCTGAAAGGTGTGACCAGCTCAAGGTCATTCAGTGAGTTTCCATAATTAAGTGAGAATTTCAACCCTGGCCTAACAGAGACCTGATTCAGCACTCAAACTACTATCCTATGCTGGGTCTCAAATTCACTGTAGCAATGGCAAAACTGACCCTTTCCCCCTTCAAACAAAACACCTATGATATATGCACTTTGTTTCCCAGCCTAACAGTGTTTCCAGAAGCCTCCTGGAGGTGCCCTCAACCTTCTAGAAGCCATTAACCTTTCTCTGAAATAATTATTTTCATTGGAAATAAGGTGTGTGGGGTGGGCACATCTTGCTTATAGTGCTAATAGCACATCTGGGATGTTTTGGGGATGCTACTAGACTGGGAAACAACACTGTGAACTCACTGCATATAGCTGGGTTTGAAGGATGAACACAGCCAGTTCTTGCTGCCAGTTGTACATTCAACAACAGGGTGCAGTTGGGATTGGGGTTGATGGGGCATGGGTGGGAGATACACACAGCTACATGATACCCATACCTGCTTTAGTCCCATTGAAATCAATAAGACACGTTAATGAAGATTAATCTAAGTCCCATTGATTTTAAGGGAGATAAATATGACTAGCTCAAATTCTGTTTAGGGATTCCTGAGATGGTCAGAAGGAGTAAGCAGGGCTAGCTCCACCCCTTGATGCTGCTGCATATGTAAAGAACCTTTTTATTTAAGGAATTAATATAAAATATTTTATTTTATTTATATAATGCCTTTCTCTTAGCACAGGATCCAAGGTGGCATATATTGCTTTAAAAACATAATACAATTTTAAAAAACCTTCTTAATTCTAAAGTTAAAACTATTAATTTCTATTTTAAAAAACACAAGCTACAAACAGCATTAAAAGATGTTGAAATATAGTAAATCAAAAAACAGTATAACTCCATCATTTAAAGACTCATCTGCCTCAACACACTAAAAACTAAAACTTCCTTAAATATAAAAGGTCTTGACTTACTGGTGGAAAAACTGCAGAGAGCAGGCCAAGCAGACTTCCCAGGGAAGGGAGTTCTATAACTTGGGAACAGCCACCAAGAAGGATCTGTCTTGTATCCTCACCAGATATGCCTGGATGGCAGTGGGAATGAGAGAAAGCTTTCCCTTCCAGATCTTAGAGCATGGCCAGGCTCATATAGGGAGATATGTTTTTTCATATAGACTGGACCTAAGCTGTGTAGGTCATAGCCAGCACATTGAGTAACATCTTCCTGCCAATATATAATTGATATCAGTATGAAGACACTATCTTCTATGTCTATTGGCTTTCCAACATGGAGACAGTTGGAATATCAGCACTGTGTATGTATGTGATACATAGAACAACATAGGCATAAGGGTAGCTCTATGCTTCCCTATCAGATCCTTCAGACATTTGGTACTCACAGCTACTGAACCCTTGAATAGGCCTTTATTTTAGATGCAAATCCACAGCATGAGTTTGGAAATGGTTGCTGGGAATTAGAAGTTGAGCCTTTATCTGGGACATGGTTCAACATGTTGAGAACTACACCAGAGGCTTTCAATATATTCTAGGACATATTCTACAAAGTACACCTGGTAAGTGGATAAACATATGACATCACATATCTCCAGGCTACTAAGATTCAACCATCTCTTCAGTCAAATTATGCTCATGATTTTAGCTATCTCCCAAAATTATTTGAAACTACATTTCATACAAGTCAGAATATAAATAGCATGGCTGTTTCCCTGAAAAGGATTGGTATGATAATCTTTTGTGAACATGTATCTGAAACATAGAGCCAACTTGGGGCCTTTGCAGACTGCCAGAAATAGTGCACATTAAATTGAGGCACTGCCTTGGCTCAGTGCTAGGGAATCATGGGAACTGTAATTTATTGTGGCACTAGAGCTCTCTGACAGAGAAGGCTCAATGTCTCAGAAAAAAATACAATTCCCATGATTCCCTAGCACTGAGCCAGGGCAGTGCCTCAATTTAATGTGCACTATTTCTGGCAGTCTGCAAAGGCCCTTGGTGTAGTGGTTTGAGTCCTGGACTATGATTCCAGAGACCAGGGTTCAAATCCCAGCTAAGCCATGGCAACCCACTGGGTGACGTTGGGCAGGTCACACTCTTACATCCACAGAAGACAGCAATAGTAAACCCCCTCTGAAGAAACTTGCTAAGAAAAGTCCATGATAGGTTTACCTAAGGGTCACCATAATTTGGAAATGACTTGAAAGTACACAGTAACAACAGCAGTCTGGAACATGGAAAACAAAGTGTGTTTCTATGCACTGGTCAGACCTCTCTCTCTAATAATCCATATAATTAATGAGAGCACCTGTTCATTTTTTCCAACCAACCAAACTATAAAATGGTGCAGTGTTGGGTAATTCTGTTGCATTTTTGAAACACCTTGCTTTCAAACAGTTGTGTTACAAACAAATTCAGCAAGTATCTTAAGTATCTAGCTGTGATGATGCATATTTTAACTTACATATCATTGCTAGAGGCTTTGAAGACCAGTTAGAAAGAGGTGATATTACTTCTGGGATGAAACATAATGGCTCAGCAGACTTTTTCTATGGTATATGATTGCAGGAATAACCAGAAATGCACTGGTAACAACATTAGTTTGTTCTCTCTGTGTGTATGTGCCTTCAAGTTGCCTTTTTAGATATGACAACCCAATGCATTTGATAGAACTTTGTTTTAAGGCAAGGAATACTCAGAAGTAGTTTTGACAGTTCTTTCCTCTGGAGCCTCCAGCACTTGGTATTCATTGATGGTCTCCCATCCAACTCCTAACCAGGACTGACCTTGCTTCAAGATCAGACAGGATCTGATGCCTTTAGAGTATTTAGACCCTGATTTGTTCCCTCAGAGATAATAAATAGTTTCATAAAATTTAGCAATAGTCAAGTTACTTACTACCTGTCCAAGGTAGCTCAAATAGATCTGGTTAAGTAATTATCCCCTAAAGGCCCTTGATACCATTATATCCTCTCAATTCTTAACCTTTGACAAGTCCACAGAGCTGAGAAATGATTTATTCTCTTTTTGTTGTTGTCGTGACCTTCTTAGTCTGTGTTCAGTCTTGCAAGAACTTCTAACTATGCAAATATATCAGTATTGTGACGGCTGCATTTAATGTATGCTGCCCCAGATCATTAAAGGAGAACATTACAAATTTGTATCTTAGATTCCAGGACTTAGAAGATAGATCTTATCTTAGAAAGCTTTAAAGTTCAAGACAGTGATCTGTTGAGGAGGAGTGCAATATCTCTTTCCCCCTGTTAGTGTTTTGTTGTACCAGTTTAGTATGAGGGAAAGCTTGCAGTTTTCTTTTCTTGTTTTCTTCCTGTTAAGCTTGATTTTTTTAATACTCAGATTCTTTTACCTAAGGCATCTCCCTCCAATATAAAACTAAGTTTCCAATGGAAATAAATTATTGATAACATGCAAATTAAACTCAAGATGTTAAATACACATCTTCCCATGTAGGTAGATTCTGCAGCATATTTAAGACTAACTGAAAAAAAATTAAGAGGTTGTCAGCATGAGCTTTCATAGATTTCAGCCTACTTCTTCAGATGCATCAGTTAGTCTTAAAGGTGCTGCAGAATCTATCTACAATTAATACTAATTATACAGATGAACATGGTTGTACCTTTGAATTCTATCTTCCCATGTGTTATTAGTTAATTAGATATGTTTTCAATTTTATAAACATATTTCTAAACCAACTTTGTTAAATCATAAGACATAGTGGTTTATCTTATGACCTGATTGAATATCAGATTCACAGCATTTTTTTTTCATTTTTAACCATTTAGTCATTTTTCAGGGAACTAGTAAAATTAAATAGATCTGTTTAATCTGTCCATTGAATACAAGCATCCCAGCAGAATATTTAGTTCACGTCTGGCAAAAATTAAAGCATTCTTGTATTTGGAGAATTTTGGCAATTCAGGATGTTTACATAGGTGTGTTTAAGATACAAAAATATTTTGTAAAGCTGAAAAAAAGTTGATTGAAAGTTCTTAAGGTATTTGTTTTCTTTTGGGGGTCTTTACTGTGCATGGATTTAAAATGTTTCTACAACTTTCTGAAGCCCTCCAGATTTTATAGATGTAAAGAAATGTCTGGTTTCAGTAATATGGATCATTTATTATTTTTAGAAATAGGGAGGGAAAGATCAATTATTGAGAATGATAACCTCAAACTACCTCTTTGGGAGTAACCCAGTTTATCAACTGGAACTACTCTTGAGTAAGTAGTTTGAGTCTTGTGACCTAGACCTTGTAATTCCTCAAGCCTGAGGGACTAGCAAAAAACAAGAAGTAGTTTTCAAATCCAAGAGAATGAGGCTTCACATTTGGGTAAAGAACCAACTGGGTAATGTTAAATTTGTTGGCTGTTTTAGCTATGTGGCTCATTCCCTCTGGAGCAATAAATTCCTTAGAGGTCTCAGCTCTTTAAATCCCCTTAGGAAAAGGAGGAATGAAAAATATAGACTCATTCTAAAAGAGTCCCTTGTTTTCCTGCCAAGTAGAAAAGGCTGCAAGATGTATCCTGCACACTTTTATTTGAGTGGACTTGTAATGGCTTGCTTTCTTTGCAGGGGGTTAATGACAACCAGCAGGCCACACATAGAAACACAGGATACAGATAATCACATATATAGCCTTGTACTGCAAAGGCAAAATTCGACTGCTTATATTTTTCCCCTTTGACACATTACACTGTCATCTTTCCATGATGTTCTCTCCTCCAGTTTCTGTTAAATTCCATTTTCCAAATTTTGATCTACTTTGGCATTATTATTATTATGATTATTATTCAATGACATATGGCAAGATCTGTTGAAACTGAGGTTAATGTGTATTAACAGAGGTAGAAAACAGATTATGTTTTTTTATATGCATAAATAGGCTGGAACAGGGGACTAGTCTGAGTGGAAATATCTAGATATTCTGTTGCTACAATATACTGATGTTAGTGTATCTGGCTTTTTTCAGGGTTGTATAGACCTAGGAGCCAGTGTGGTGTAGTGGTTTGAGCATTGGACTACAATTCTGGAGATCAGGGTTCAGTTCCTCCATTGGCCATGTAAATCCACTGAGTGACCTTGGGCAGCCACAGAAAAACACTATATAAGACTCAGTGGCTAAGAGACTGACCTTGACAATGGCAAGATCAGCAGGCCAGCAGTTTGAGGTCCAGGTGTCACATGATGGAGTGAGTTCCTGTCACTAGTCCCTGCTTCTGCCAACCTAGCAGTTCAAAAACATGTAAAAGTGCAAGTAGATAAATAGGTACCACTTGGGTGGGAAGGTAAATTGTTCTGTGCAGTCATGTTGGCCACACGATCACAAAGTTGTCTTTGGCAATGTTGTCTCTTCAGCTTAGTAATGGAGATGAACACCACCCCCTACAGTAAGACACAACTTGACAACCTTGTCAAAGGGGAAACCTTTACCTTTTTAGGATTGCCTTAGGCTTGCCATAAGTCAGAAACAACTTGAAGGCATAGAAAAACAACAAGAAGAAATGGGCCAAGGCAGAGAAAATCATTTCATCATTGTCTAAAAAGGAAGTTCCTAGTTTTAGGTGAGTCAGTACTCAGGGAAGGCTTCCCTGGAAGATCACCTGTGGTGGTCAGGTGATTTTCCCAAGGATATGTTTCCAGAGTGCTTTTACCTTTAGGGACCTGCCTGGAAGCCAGGCACTATGGAGACAAGTTGCTTAGGAGCTGGAGCTTCCCCCTATTGCACCTGCACTTTCCTCCAGCTTTAGCACTCACTGCTACCTCACCCTCATCCATACCCGCTTCCTACACTGTAGAGTTACATTAGCCAACAGGATTTTGGTCCAAGGGTCAATGCACACAGAACTGCGGCCACAGTTTTGGAGGCCAAGGCTGTTTTTAAATTCCTGCCCTTGATAGTTGCTTTTGCTTGGAAAGAAGCAGGAAATATGAAGCTATCTTATATTGAATTAAATAATTGGTCCATCTAGTTCAGTGCTGGCTGACCCAACTGGTAGTACTCAGAGCTTGGAAATAATTCATTAAAAATGTAAAACCCCTAGTTCATTAAATAATTTCCAACATTGATTTTGAATTGTGTTATTTTAACTGTTAAATACCAACAGTTGTATTTTTGGAATAATGATGTAAATTTCTCATATCTGATTCATCACAGGCCATTTTTATTAATTTTAATGATGCTTTAATTTAATGTTGTAACAGGTAAATTAAAAATAATTAAATGTGATTTTACAAAATTTCTTTATGCATTTAGCATTAACAAATTCACTGTCTTTAATGTTTAAGCACTAACACATTAGTGCTAATTTAGGAACATTTCTAAGTTCTGCAATAGCTATCCAAAGTGTTTGATAGGGATTCTTTCCTAACCTTAGAAGGACATGCCATAGGCTAAAAATAGAACCTTTTGCATACAAAGTGCTTACCCTCCAATTGTTCCAATTTGTCAGAAACAATCCTGATTAATCCACTCTCATCTCACTTTTCAACTGCTTTCAAAATGGCCTTGATTCTGTCTCCTCCCACTTCCCCCCTTCATCCTCAGTTTATTTTAATTGTTGCAAGATAAGTTCAAAGTGCAAAAGTAATTTGTATTTGGTTAACTCAGTAGGCAGAAAAGGAAAAGAGGAGGTACAGTCTTGCCCTTGCCAATTTGTTGCTGTTGTGTACCCTCAAGTTTTTTCTGACTTATGGTTACCCTAAGGTGAACTTATAAGGGGTTTCTTGGGAAGATTTGTTCAGAAGGGGCTTACCTTTGTCTTCCTCTGAGGCTGAGTGTGTGACTTAGCCAAGATCACCCAGTGGATATCATGGCCAAACAAGAATTCAAACCCTAGTCTCTAGAGTCATAATCCAGCACTCAAACCACTATACCACACTGCCTCTCATAGACTCGGGGGGGGGGGGGAACAAACTAATGTATCCTTTTCTAGCTTGTGTATTCTTCATTCTTAATAACTTTTGCCATCTTGACTACAGTCTGATTTTGTTTGGCCACATATGTCCCAGTCTTCATCTCTGAACTGTTGGAGCATATGAAAGCATGCATCTGTGTAACTTTGCTAACACCCTCTCACCAGGTTCCCTGTTTCAGAAGTGTGGGTAACAATTAAATAGATTCTCTTCTCCACACTTTTACATTTTATTTAAATAAAGTGTGTTATCAAGATCTTTGTAACTGAAGCCTCTCTCCCTTCAGCACAGAAGTGGGCTGTGCTCTCAATTAGTTCCTGATTCCTCCTAGGAACTACATTTGGCCCTCTGTATCCACAGATTCTTTAGCCACAGGTTCAACCATCTGCAGCTTGTTTTTTTTTTTTTTTTTAAAAAAATAATAATTCAAAAAGCAAACCTTGATTTTGCCATTTTATATAAGGAATGCCATTTTACAATTTTACAATGCCATTGTATATAATGGGATGAGCATCCCTAAATTTTGGTATCCATGAGGGGTCCTGGAACCAAATCCCAATGAATTTCAAGGACCCACTGTATAGTGCACCTGTGCCAGCCTGCAGTTTGTGGGTTTGGCTTGCCACCCACAGTTTAAGCTTCCTCAGATGGCAAGACCTGGCTTTTTCAATGGGTGTACACACATGCAGCAGTGCAAGCATGCATGCATGCACATTGGAAAGAATGGTCCCACACGTTTTGCAATCTGTGGGGGGGGGTAATGGATGAACGAATCCCCATGGATAGCAAAGCAAAGCTATATTACCCATTCACAATGCATGTAGTAGTTCTGTTATGATTTTACTCCCACCACTCAAATTAGGCAAATGTATGTACTTTGACAAAGTTTGGTCATGGGTAATGGTCAGAAAAAAAGAGAAAGGAGGAGACTGGGCCCTTATTTTGACCTGATATTTTCACCTTTGTAGAAATTACTCTTTCCCAAGTCAGTGATGAATTTTGAGGGACACTAGAGTGATTATAGAAATGAATGAAACATTCACAGGACTTTATTACCTGGTTTTTGGTCAGCCTTAGCCTCAGCATGACTGAGAACAGATAGGAAAGAAAAATCTACCTCCTCTGGTTATTTTCCCTTTTGACTTGCTCATTCACTGTTTGCAGTCAGACATGCTATTTTTCTGAGGATTGTGAGTATTTAATGTAAAAAGAACATACCATCTTTCAAGGTATGGGGTCATCGCTTAGTGACACTCTATGCTTTGAATGCAGGAAGTCCCAGGTCTTTCACATTTCCAGTTGAAATAACAACACTGATACATATAGTAAAGGTTGCAATAATAATCTTACCAGCTAGAGTAGACAATACTCAGCTAGTTGGACAAAAAGTCTGACCTCATGTAAGGCAGCTTGTTATTTTCCTAGATATGCCATCCTCTATTTTTACTGATGGTGTTCAGGAAAAATAGTACTACAGAATTGTTCAGTTCAGGGAAGGAATATCTGAATTAAGACCAGAGTTGAGACTGACATGCAGGCAGTTAACAACAAGAAATGAAAAAGTTACTTTTCAGCTACAACTCTCAGAATCTCCCCACTCACATGACCAGTAATACCTACTATACTATGGCTGAAAAAGCCCATTTGGTGACATTTATTATCCACTTATTCTCTCTCCCCTGCCAAGAATGTTAGTCACTTTGTTAATATACTTCTCAAGCAGTTTACAGTCACATTTCTCTTTGAATGGGGTGGAGAAATTGTGAGCCATGGGCTGGACGCTGTCCCCAAACTCCACTTGTGAAGCTCTGGAAATGCTCTGAAGCATCACAAGTCACACAAGATTTTTGGGGGGGTGATTGGTCCAAAGCACACAAAACTGCCCTCAAACATGGTGGTATCATTTTCACACCCTTTCCCAGAACTCCCAACCACTCCACGCTTCTCACTTTCACATGTGAATCCACAAAAAAAAAAAAAAAAAAAAAAAAAAATCTTTTCCAGCATGTCCAGGCACATTGGTGTAGCCAATGGATGTAATTCCCCCCCCCATGCTGTTGCATGACCTCATCTCTCTCTTGGAAGAGACCTGATGTATTCCTTTGCTCTAGAAATTAGAGTCATATGCAGTTTTTGGATTTGGAAAAATATTTTAGAATAAGGAAAAAGCTGTATAAATGCAGGAAGTGATTATGTTCAAACAGAGTGAAGCTCCCTTTCAAAATCTAGTCAATGTGTCTCATTTACTGTGCCTGCCAGGTTGCCTGGTGCATAAGACATTCCTGTCCTGGCACAGCTCTTCAATCATAATTACTTTTATTCAGCATTAATGTGGCTGCTATGAGCACCTCTATAGGACTTTTATTGCCAATTCAGCATTAAAGTACCATTATAGTAAAGTGTTACTGTAAGAGAGAGTGCCTGCCAAACATTTCTCAGAAGAGTTCTGTGCTTTTAAGATAAGTGAGATCTCCACCGTCTTCATTTTCATGTAAATGTTAGAGATGAGACTTTTTATTGATTAGACAAAACAGTGGTGAGCATATGTGTAAAGGTAGCCAATACCTTTCTCCTATAAGGAGAATTATTTTATTGCAAGTAGAAGACCTGCTTTCAACATCTGGAGAAACTGGAATGCAGTGGGGAGGTTCTGTCACTTTTAGGTCTCGTTGCTTTCTAGTCTCCAGTTGTCATCATGTGGTCAAGCGTTGTCTATTCTCAAGACATCTGCATCCTCATGTTCTCCGTGTCATCACCAATTGTATTTTCTAGAATGTTAAACTTTTAAAAAATGAAACCGTGTTTGCAATGCAAAACATCTGTGTATTTTTCAACTCTTTCATTGTAGCTGTGCACTTTCTTGTGAGGCAAAGATGATTTAACAATTTGTAATGTTCCTGACATTAATGATTACATTCTGACAAATTAGTGTGATGTACTGTTTGAGCATCCAATGATAACTCTGGAGACCAGGGGTTGAACCCCTTGGCCATGAAAACCCATTGAGTGACCTTGGGCAAGTCACACTTTCTCAGCCCCAGAAAATGGCAATGGTAAACCCCCTCTAGTCAAATTTGCCAAGAAAACCCTGTGATAGGTTCATTTTAGGGTTGCCATAAGTCAGAAATGATTTGAAGGAACACAATACATGCAAGGAGGAGAAAGCCACATGCATGAGAAATAGCTACTGAGGTAGCTTTAGCCCAAAAGTCTCATGGAACTGTAAGGCATGTATGTGAAAACATTCTTTAAAATGGTAGTGGACAAGCTGGGGAGGTCTCAGGGGGCAACATTTTGCTCCTGAGATTCTTCAGGACCCACAGACACAACCAGGAATTCCTTCAAACATTTCTTAATTAAAAAATAAATAAAGGGATTGGGTGGAAGTCCTATTAAAAAGTCAGCAGAGCTTTCTAGGATAGGCAATTCAGTTTGGGGGAGGGGGTTCAAAGTATGTAAAAATGTGGGGGTTAGGGGCCTAAAAAATGGCCTCATAGGGTCTATGTGCAATTTAGAGTGTAATTTCCATCTAGTGAAATGGTTTTTCTTCCTTCAGTATTGCCTTTTAGATTCCAGACCAAAGGAATTCTGTCCTCAAATGCTTTCAGGTTGGCTTGTTTCTCTCCCTTGTCTATGCTGCATTGCTTTGTGTCAATGTTACTAATTAATATTTACAGGGAGATTTCAGTTTGCATAGTATGGGTTTGTAGAATATTGGAGTTTTGAAAATGGCTTTAGTATTTTTTATTACTTTTCACTGATATATCTTTTACAAAACAGTTAATAAATACACAAAAGTGTTACCGTTTTCTTAGCCCATTTGTAGCTCTGATTGCTCTTTGTGCATATTGAGGATCTGCAAATACAGTTTTATTGGCTTCACAGCACAAAGGTTAGAAACAGTAGATTGGGCAGGTTACCGCTCTCCTCCTCCAATTATATGATGGGGGAGAAAAAATAAAAAACAGAAATTTCAAAAATATCCTTACTATACAGTTTTCAAGGTTATAGTGATGGAAAAGATTTTAAAATGGGCCCTGAGCATTAGAAAAGAGAGAGCTATGGTATTTGTGTATTTTCCCATTGCTTGTATGTACTTCTCTGGTAGCTCTGCTGAAGGGGAACATACACATGTGCCCTCCAAAAAAAATTATTTAAAAAAGCAGACCCTGAGTTTTTGAACTAGCTTCAAAATCATTTTGATCATAAAACTTTACTGAACGACCAAGACCAGAGTTATTCCCTGTGGATCACATTTGAGGCTGTAGGCTCAGCCCCAACATTTCTCTGCTTTATTTTATTTTATTCTATTTTATTTCTTTTGTTCTGGTAAGATGAAGAGAGGAATGTGATAAATCCAGCAATGCTTAATAAAGCATGTTCCCTTTACACTGAAGAAATGTAGGTCATTGATGCTGAGATGACAATGATCAAAATTTGGTGCCAAAGGAAAGGGCAGACCCAGTTTTTTCTGTTATCTCTGGCCTGTTGCCAATTCCTCAGTCAGAGTGTCTTACAAACAATCCCCTTATATTTGTAAAGGTTCTGGGGATAGTTTCCAACCTTGTTTTCCAGCAAAGGAGATTATTAAATGGTGTTCTTTTTCATGGAACAGTGACAGTCCCAAGGAAGATTCATGGATGGATTATATTCCTAGACATTATAAATCAGTGCTGATGGCAAAGATAAGTTGAAGGCTTGAAGTAAATAAAAAATAAATTAGGATATGAGCCAGCCGCAGGCTGTAAAGACATGATTGTAAAATTTAATACCAACAAAGAGAGAAAAGAACCATTGAAAAGAAAAGAAAAAGTGGGGGAGGAAAGGTTGACTGTACAGCCCCCATGCAAGTATATTAATAAAACATTTGAAAAACCTAACTATGTGCAAAGATTTAAAATGTTTTGGGACTGGATATGAAGGAGTTTATTTTCGGAAACATTTGCAACATAACACTTATTTGCTGGCAT